CGTAATGATGGCGCGAGCAAAGAGAATTTACATTTTGATAATCAAAGTTAACAAGTTGTTTTCTTTTTTTTGGTCGCGGTGTTTTCTGAAAGAAATAGAAAACATGTTCTCCGTGCTTCTATCAAATTATAGAAACACTCGTGAAAGTTTGGGAGAACTCGAAAAAGCTGTGGAAACAGTCGCCTACGGCTCGTGTTCCCACAGCATTTCTCGTTCTCCCAAACTTCCACTCGTGTTTCTATAACTCGATGAAAACAGGGTACATGTTTTCTATTTCTTAAATAACTATTTGTATATTTTTTCCTGATTTTCTTTGTATATTACTTGCGAAACGTCCATATAGTATATTTCAAGTTACGAATGTAGATGTAGATGTAGATGTAGATGTAGATGTACATTTTAACACAAGTGTTTTTTTTGGCTCCTTAGAACAATCTCTAGTAGGCTATTCGCATATTTACTTTTGCTTAAAGTTGTCTGAGAATCGTCCTGTGTGACTTTATTCAATCACTGTTCAATCACTGTTCTAGACGTTTTTCAAAAGTAACTCTTGAGAATATCGGTCACCCAGTATGCTTTGAAGACGGCACTTCTTTACCACCATTATCTGAGTTATCAAAATTTGAAGTTTCAAAGAGATATGAAATTTGATGGAATCAAGTAATCTGACAGTTACAACACTCTTATGGGCAGATCTTAGAAAAAAGGGTGAAAGAAAAATTAGAGCAATAAAATGTTGTTTTAAAGAAACACAACCTTAGAATGCTTCTTCCGAAAGTTTATTTAGGACTCAAGAACCCTGGTGATTATTGGAAGGGAGCTCAAAGCATGCTGGTTAAGCATGTGTTTCTGCAGTTTAGTTAGTCAATATTTTGCAGGCGAATTGTTTGCTCTTTTCTGTTTCCGAGTGACCAACATTGTAGTTTGCTGTGAAGTCTGCGAAGCCGTTACTTGGGTTTTCATGCAACGCTTGGGAGAAGGCGTTACCCGATGACAGAAATAACGGTAACGACTACCAAAGAGTGGCCAAATGCACTTTTGTTACTTCTGTTTTGTTTTCAAGAAGGTCGCATGACAAGGTTCCAGTTACTGTGTGCTCTTGATTGTTCAATAATGTGTTAAAGAATTATTCCACGAGTACGCGCTGGATATAAGATGGTAGATAACCAACTAGGCGTGTTGGATATGAGTTGGCTATAATAGTCCCATATCCAGCAAGCCCGAGTGGAATAATTGTTTTATTAAAACGCCCCCAAATTATAGAAAATTACACTAAAACCCCCCGAAAATATAACA